CAGGTGTAGAGGATGGCAATTCAACAGTTCCATACATCACCCTGTGCTCATCAGAACATGTGTACACCTTAATCCCCATCTCCTGTTTGACCTATTCCCACCTCCATCCCCACCTCCTCTTTGGTAACCATCACATTGTTCTTTATAATTAAGAGTCAAGGAGGTGATTTTAAACAAGCATGTAGTGATACGCTGTGGCTATACACTCAGGCTCAGTGCAGAGGGAAAGGGGAAAAACACCCAGTTCCCATATTCTCCCTGTGATGGGTTAGACTGAATTATTTTCCCACCTGCTGCCTGAGAGTTGTGCTTCCACTTAGTCTGTGTTTGGGAGCTTAGAGGGCGGGTAAGTGTAGTCTTTCAGGAGCCTGAATGAGCATGAAGGAATTTCCTGTGCCTTCTCTCTATGGCTTCCTCTAATGATAAAATCAGGTTTCTAGCTTCTCTGGGAAAGGAGTTTGTCCACATACCTAGCACCCCAACTTTTACAGCTGCCACCTGTGGGACTGGCTTCTAAATCACCTAACTCTGGGAGCTGATGGTCTTCAGCATTTGTTAGTCTCCCAGGATCACAGAGAACAAAGAGATGGCTTTAAATAGGCACACAAGCACTCCCAGCAGCTCTTCCCCTTGGCTAGGGACAGAGAGCAGACAAAAGCACCCACTTACTAGTTTCTCCCTAAAAGGGGCTAGACTGTGTAGCTAACATTCCAACTTGCCCAGCTGCTGCCTGCAAGTTAGGATTCTTTTTTTTTAATCATTTTTTTAATTTATTTTCAACATAACAGTATTCGTTGTTTTTGTACAACACCCAGTGCTCCATGCAATCCCTGCCCTCTCTAATACCCACCACCTGGTCCCCCCAACCTCAACCCCCCCCACCTCTTCAAACCCTTCAGATTGTTTTTCAGAGTCCACAGTCTCTCATTGTTCACCTCCCCTTCCAATTTCCCCCAAATGCCTTCTCCTAACTCCTCATGTCCTCCATGCTATTTGTTATGCTCCACAAATAAGTGAAACCATATGATAATTGACTCTCTCTGCTTGACTTATTTCACTCAGCATAATCTCTTCCAGTCCTGTCCATGTTGCTACAAAAGTTGGGTATTCATCCTTTCTGATGGAGGCATAATACTCCATAGTGTATATGGACCACATCGTCCTTATCCATTCGTCCGTTGAAGGGCACCTTGGTTCTTCCCAAGTAAGGATTCTAATTATCTTGCATCTAGTTGCTGATGGGGCAGGCACTTTGTAGTGCGCCAAGAGCCTGAACAGTTGTGTGCACTTCTCCTCTGCCTTCAGAGCACTGATGAAACTTGGTATAACCTAATCTCTCAGGACCCACTAAGAACAAACATGGCAGTTTGGACAAGCACAAAGTTTGGAGAGGCATCCATATCTTTAGCTGGGCTGATTGGCTAGCTTCTACAAGTTCAGTCTGTTAAGACTAGGAGAGATAGCTGTTTTAATGTAATGCATAGAAAACAATTCAAAGAGCCAAGGAAAATGAAGAACATGAAATAAAAGAACAAACAAAGAACAAGATATATCTCTGGAAACTGACCTAATGGGATGCAGAGAAATGATTTACCTGACAAAGAATTCAAAATAATGGTCATAAAGATGCTCACTGAGGTGAGGAGAGCAGTTCATGAAAAAAGTGAGAATTTCAACAGAGAGAGAAAATATTAAAAACTATGAAACATAAATCATAGAAGTGAAGAATCCAATAATTGAACTGAAAATTCAATTACAGAGATCAACATCAGACCAAATGAAATGCAAGAAAGGATCAGTGAACTCAAAGACAAGCCAGGGGAAATCATCCAGAGGAAAATAAAAGAATGAAAAAGAGGAATGATAATTTAAGGGATTTATGGGATACCACCAAGTGTATCAATATTTGCACTATGGGAGTCCAAGTAAACAAAGAGAGAGAGAGAAGGGACAGAAAGTTTACTCAAGGAAATAATGGCTAGCCTTTCTATGCAAGCCAAAGAGGAGACATGGTCATAATTTAAAGGAAAACGTTCATAATGTCTGGAGCCCTTGATGTCCTTCAAATGAAGAAAGAGGGTGCAGCACCAACCTTGACTTCCCAATGGAGTGGAACATCTACAAAAGAAAAGTGATAGCATCTATATCAGAAATCTGAAGAGAACCTGAGATGTTCCTGCTGATAGCTCATGCCCTTGCTGCCACCGAACACCTGGCTGATGTCAGTGTCTTACACTCTAGGAATACTGGCCAACAAGCTGAGCTGAAGTTTGCTCCTGCCTCTGAGAGCTTTTCACCTAAGGTCAGGGAAATGACAGGGATGTCCACTCTCACCACCACTGTTCAACATAGCACTAGAAGTCCTATCCTCAGCAACCAGAGAACAGAAAGAAAGAAAAGGCATCCAAATTGGCAAAGAAAGCAAACTGTCATTCTTCAAAGATGGCGTGATACTCCGCTCAAAAATTGCTGGATCTCATACAGGAATTCAGCAATGTGGCAGGATATAAAAACAACACACAGAAATCAGTTGCATTTCTATACACTAACAATGTCACTGAAGAAAGAGAAATTAAGAAACTGATACTATTTATAATTGTACCAAAATCTATAAGATACCTAGGAATAAATTTAATCAAAGAAGTAAAGGATCTATACTCCGAAAATTATAGAACACTTATGAAAGAAATTGAGGAAGACACAAAGAAAAGGAAAAATGTTCCATGCTCATAGGCTGGAAGAACAAATATTGTTAAAATGTCCATGCTACCCAAAGCAATCTACACATTCAATGCAATTCCTATCAATACCATCAACATTTTTCACAGAGCTGTAACAAACAACCCTAAAATTATATGGAAGCAGAAAAAACCCTGAATAGCCAAAGGAATGTTAAAAAAGAAAACCAAAGCTGGAGGCATTACAATTCTGGACTTCAAGCTGTATTACATAGCTGTGATCATCAAGACAGTATGGTACTGGCACAAAAACAAACATACAGGGGTTGCCTGGGTGGCTCAGTGGGTTAAGCCTCTGCCTTCGGCTCAGGTCATGATCTCAGGGTCCTGGGATTGAGCCCTGCATTGGGCTCTCTGCTCAGTGGGCTGCCTGCTTCCCCCTCTCTTTCTGCCTGCCTCTCTGCCTACTTGTGATCTCTCTCTGTGTGTCAAATAAATAAATAAATAAATAAAAATCTTAAAAAAACAAAACCAAAAACAAACAAACATATAGATCAACAGAACAGAAGAGAGAACCCAGAAATGGACCCTCAACTCTTTGGTCAACAAATCTTTGACAAAGCAGGAAAAAATATCCAATGGAAAAAAGACAGTCTCTTCAATAAAGAGAAGATTTGTTGATTAGTTTGCCTAAAGTAACTATATATATGTTGTATACCTTTATTATAGATATACCATCATGTTGCACACCTTTATTATATAAAATTTTTCTTTAAAAAGTTATGCAACCTCACTTATAGTAAGAGAAAAATTAAAGCTACACCAAAGTGCCATTTGAAAAAAATCTACCAGACTGGCAAAAATCCCCAAGAGTTGATCATATACTCTGTTGTGGTTGGTTTAGAGAAATAGGCATTTGCAAAAATTGCTTGTGTAGTACAAATTTGTATAACCATAAATGGAAAGCATTTTGGCAAGATCCTAAAGATTGTGTGTAATATGTTACATTTTGTGTAATGAAACAGAAGATAGATTATTATGTTTTATTAAATATGCATAAAGTGTATGTAGTGTGATAAAAGTGGTTATCTTTTTCTGTGGGAAGGGATGAAAGAAAGGTGGGTGGGAAAGGGAATTAAACTTATTTGTATACCTTTTTATATTGTTTTGATTTATGGCTCATTTGAAGGAATACCTTCTTTTCTCAGAGAGCTCCTGTTGCTATATATTTTAAACTTCTTACTGCTTTCCCCCATTTGTACAAACATGCTTTAGTTACTAGTTACTAGAAATTATGATTCTTTGTCATTTTCTAAAACTCTGGGTGTCACTCTTTTTCCTCTATTGACAGCTGCCTTTCTTTTATGTTTTGTCCACATTCAGTATTTCCCCATCCTCACCTGTGTGTCAACCTACTGCTTCAGATTTCAATGATGTCCAGTGTATACTATTCAGGTCTACCTGCCTGACATTTCTGTTTTATTTCCTTCTTGACATCTTCTTTTCATGCAGATTGTGCAATAAAACTTTAACCAGATTTTCCTCCTATTTCACTAATCCCACCCAATATTTTCTTCAGTTATTCTATTTTAGAAATGTTGTTAGTCCTCAGGATTCATCCCCTATCTCTCTTCTCATTATTATACATACTCCCAATAGATTATCTTATCTATCCATTTCAAATTTCACTTGTACTTTGATGAATCCCAAATTTATATCTCTACATCAATTCATAGATTCCAACTGCCTGTTGGTTGTTCTCTCATAGGTATGTGTCATAGGTATCTTATACTCAACATATCCTCTTTCAAACACACTCAGTTCCTGTGTTTACTATATTGGTAAGTGGAACTTTCACCTATTCACTGGATCATGATATAAATCTGGGCCATATCTTAAGATAATTTGTTTTCCTTATAACCCACATCCGAATGGAAACCAAACCCTGTCAATTTGACTTCCTTAACATCTTTCACAATTACTTTTTCTAATAATTTTTTCATACCAAAATCTTAATTGTGTCATGGTAGCTTAAGTGAAATAACTACTCTTCCTGTTTCTAATTTGGCCTGTTAAAGATACTCATACTTTGTCTCAAACAGAAAGAATATTTGCCTTTTCCCAAACTCAATATGTTATCATGATTATTGCTGTCCCTGGATTCTGTTACTTTTGAGGAAAGAGTATGTGTATATATATATATATATATATATATATATATATATATATATGCACTTCTAAGTTCCCTTTCATGTCTCCCACCTACTTGCCCAGTTGCCTCCTCCTTTAGGGTACCAACTCAGTGATTAGTAACAGAAATACCTTTCTGATATTTTTGGTAATGTTAAAGCCATCAATCAACACAGCTCCAGATGTTGTGGTCTCCTCTCCAGTCAATATTTTGAAGGTAGTGGTTTTCCCAGCTCCACTTAATCCAAGTAATCCAAAGGACTCAGATTTCTGGACTACAAGGGAGATATTTCTTACAGCCTTTACAACTGGACACTTATAATAAACCTGAGAAAATAAGGGAAAAAACCCATAGTGTACTGGAGCACTGATTATGGGCCAACTACAACCATAACCTCAAATCCCTATAGACTGGTACCTGTGACAGTTTCACTCTTCCACTCTCAGCCTTCTATTTTACCAGATATATACAGATCCCATAGAACTAAGAGATTAGTAGATTAGATTAGTAGTACTCTACTAATAGATTAGTAGTACTACAAATAAATTCTTGCCAGGGATGGTGGGCTACAGTTCAGGACAATGTTGATTACTGAATGACATTACCTTTGTAAGTTCTTTCAAAACCAGTGGGATATTCTTTAACTTGGGAGGCAGTGTCAGGGCTCTGTTCTCTTCATTTTTTACATCTTCATCCTCATAGTCCTTGACCACTTGACAGGACACTGCAGCCTACATTTTTAAGACAAAAATCACAGATAAGAATACACTTTAAGTATCTGGTTTAAATGGAAGACCTTCTGAAGGCTGGCCCAAGGAAGTAATATCAAAGATGTCAGAAAATGTTTGCTTAATTTCCAAGAACATTCCTACCAATTTCCTGAACTCTCATGCACTAAGTTTATTCTTGACTTGCTTAGATTTCAAGAGCAAGTGTTTTTAGAGCTGTGAGTAAGTAGTATGTTCTTGCCAATAACATGGGTACTTCATGGAAAACAAAAGCCACACTGGTACTAATATTGTTGTTTAATGTGATTTGTTACAAATAAAATATGTTGAAGATACCATGAGATCCAATTTTTAAAAAAGAATGAATTTTTTTTTTAAGGAAATACCCTCTATAGGTGAAGTCGGAGCTTGAATAAGTAGGGATTCATTCAAAGAGTGAAGATGTGGGGGGAAGAAAGAACGCTGCCATCAGCAGTGGGAGCTCAGTGAGAGATAAGTAGCAATGAACCATCAGGGCATGTTTTGTGAATAGTAATTTGTAGTGTTTGAGCATAACTTTGTTGTTGTTGTTGTTGTTGTTGTTGTTGTTTTTGAATTGTCTATTTTTGCATCAAGTGCTCATTTGATGGTACTTTATTAAGGAAGAATCGAGCGGGGGGATATATTTAGCTCAGTAAACATGCTAGTCAGAAGATTGACTAGAGAGCTGCTTTAAGTGTTTTTCTCTTTTCCAGTCTAAAAATTGGATGTACAGGAGCAGTCAGAATGAACAACTTTTCCTTGCTTTTGATCTTAGTGGGGAAACATTCACTCTTTCACCATCATGTTTGCTGTAAACTATCTAAGTGGACCCCACTTATCAGGATGAAATGTTTCCTTTCTTTCCTTGGTTAGCAGTTTTTTGAAAAATCACAGATGGATGTTGAATGTTGTCAAATGCTTTTTATGCAATAACTGGCATGAACATGTAGTTTTTCTTCTTGAGACTATTGACCTTGTGGCTAATATTCATTTTCAAATATTAAACTAGCTTTACATTCATGGAATAAACCCCATTTGTTCACAGTTTATTCTTCCTTCCATGTATTCTTGGGTTCTATTATGAATATTTTGTTGAGAATTTATGTGTCTGTGTTCTTGAGGGATACTGTTTTTTTTCTAATTTCTCCATTTTGGTATTAGAGTAATGACGGTTTCAAAAAATGAGTTGGAAAATGTTCTCACTTCTTCTTTCTGGAGGAAAGAATGCAGACTTGATGCTGTTTCTTTAATTTTTTTGATAGAATTTGTAAGTGAAATTATACAGGCTTAGCATTTTCTTTTTTGGAGGTTTTATACTATGCAAATAATGTCTTTAATTGAAATAAAACTATTTAGTTTCTTTATTCTTGAGTGAGTTTTGATAAGGTTGGGTCTTTCTAGGAATTGTTCTATTTCATCTAAGGTAACAAATTTATGACATAGGCTGGATTTTAATTTCTGTGGTATCCATAGTGAAATCTTTTCATTTGTCCTCACAATGACAATATGTTTCTATTGTTTCTATTTCATGATTGCTCTGGCTAAAGATTTATCAATTATAATCATTTTTAAAAATTAGTTTTTGGTTGCATTCATTAATTTTTCTCAATTACTCTTCTGTTTTCAGTTTTATTTCTTTTATTTTTACTTACTTCTGCCTGCTCTGAGTATATTTTGCTTCTTTTCCTTTTATTGATGTGGAAGTTTCAATTATTAACCTGGGACTTTTTTTTTTTCGTTTCAGAGGTAAAATTTAGTTATTTGTCGGTTGCATGTAACACCTAGTGCTCATTTCATCAAGTGCCCTCCTTAATGCCCATCACCCAATTATCCCTTCCCTCCAATCACCTCCTCTCCAGCAATCCTCAGTTTATTTCTTAGAATTCAGCATCTCTTATGGGTTAACTCTCTTTCAGAATGGCTAAAATTAACAACTCAGGAAACAACAGATATTGGCGAGGATGTGGAGAAAGGGGAACGCTCTTACACTGTTTGGGGGAATGCAAACTGTTGCAGCCACTCTTGAAGAGAGTATGGAGGTTCCTCAAAAACTTAAAAATAGAGGGGCGCCTGGGTGGCTCAGTGGGTTAAAGCCTCTTCTCTCAGCTCAGGTCATGATCCCAGGGTCCTGGGATCGAGTCCTGCATCAGGCTGTCTGCTCAGTGGGGAGCCTGCTTCCCTTCCTCTCTCTCTACCTGCCTCTCCACCTATTTGTAATCTCTGTCAAATAAATAAATAAAATCTTAAAAAAAACCAACTTAAAAATAGAGCTACCCTAGACCCCACTGTTGCACTACTAGGTATTTATCCAGAGGATACAAACAATGATTTGAAGGGACACCTGCACCCCAATGTTTATAGCAGTAATGTTCACAATAGTCAATATATGGAAGAATCCCAGATATCCATCAGCAGATATATCACATATATTATATATATATCAAGATATATATCTTTATGTATAAAGATATATATATATATATATATATATATCTCAAGCTCCCACTGCTGATGGCAGTGTTCTATCTATATATACACATATATGTATATATAGATATATAATGGAATATTATGCAGCCATCAAAATGTATGCTGAGCTCCCACTGCTGGTGGCAGCATTCTATATATATATATATAGAGAGAGAGAGAGAGAGAGAGAGAAAGAGAGAGAGAAGATGTGATATATATGTAATGGAGTACTATGCAGCCATCAAAAAACATGAAATCTTGCCATTCGCAACGACGTGAATGGAACTAGAGGGTATTATGCTAAGTAAAATAAGTCAGTCAGGAAGACAAATACCTTAGGATTTCCCTTGTATGTGGAATTTGAGAAACAAAACAGATGAACATAGGAGAAGGGAATAAAAAATAAAATGGGACATTTTTTTCATGAATAATACAAGCATTTAATACTTTAAATTTCTAGGGGCACCTGGGTGGCTCAGTGGGTTAAACCTCTGCCTTTGGCTCAGGTCATGATCTCAGGGTCCTGGAATCAAGCCCCGCATAGAGCTCTCTGCTCAGCAGGGAGCCTGCTTCCCCCCTCTCTCTCTGCCTGCCTCTCTGCCTACTTGTGATCTCTGTCTGTCAAATCAATAAATAAAATCCTTAAAAAATACTTTAAATTTCTATTAAAACACTGCTTCAGTCACATCCCACAAATTTTGGTATGTTGTATTTTCATTTTCATTCAGTTCAAAATATTTCCTAATTTCCTCTGCAATTTCCTTTTTGATGAATGGGTTCCAGAGATGTGTGTTGCTTAATTTCCCAATGTTTATAGAGGTTTTCCCATTATATTTATGTTATTCATTTATAGTCAAATTTAATGATGATCAGAAAACACTGCATTTCTATTATTTTAAAATTGTGACTGATGTATTTTGGTTGATGGTTCCATATGTACTACTCTTATTATGGGTTATGTTCTATAAATGCCAATTAGATTTATTTGGTAGATAGTGTCTTACAGTTCTTCACTGATTTTCTGTCTTTGTGTTCTACTGATTAGTGAGGGAGTATTTAGTAGATTATGAAAGCTGTGAATGAGAACATGCTGTTTTGCAGGGGAGGCCTCCAAATTTTCTTTGCCTGAAAAGGGAGTATGAATTCTTAACAGAGAGGAGTGTGTCACTTCTTCTTTTTTTAAAAGATTTTATTTATTTGACAGAGAGAGAGATCACAAGTAGGCATAGAGGCAGGCAGAGAGAGAGGAAGAAACAGGCTCCCTGCTGAGCAGAGAGCCCGACGCGGGGCTTGATCCTAGGACCCCAAGATCATGACCTGAGCTGAAGGCAGAGGCTTAACCCACTGAGCCACCCAGGTGCCCAGTGTGCCACTTCTTTAGACTCAGATTGTTTAGGGAAATCTTGGAATTTAAGATTTTTGGGTCATTAACTCAGATGTCCCTATTCCATGTATCAGGGTCCCATTCCTTTCTAATAAGAGTTGTGATCTTGGCATAGCAGATCTGCCTTGACTGATAGTTTGATGTTCCTGAAGCTCATCAAATCTGAAAATTGGACATTGATCCCAGTACTCACTTTGCACTTCCACTGAAGGAAATAAGGGGTCCATTATATGTGATCAAGGAAGCCCTTTCACTTTCACAGTGAAAGTGAAAAAGGAGGCTTTCAGTCTCCCACTAGTAATTCCTGGACTTTTATTTTCTAAACCAAAGAGCTTAGCAATAGTCTCACAATTCCATTGTTCTAACGTGTGCTATTTTCCCCATATTTCTTGATTCTCTGATATACACATCAATCAGTGCATTCTCTTGACATATCATCCCAATTCAGCACTGGTGAAAAATTTAACAACTAGACTACTACTTTGTGTCAGAGGAAATCTGCTTCCTTTGCTACCAGTAACATGGACCGTATTGACAGCTGAGTTGGGGAAGTTATATGATGATAAGTGATATATATATCATAAGTTGTATATTTATTTCAGTTAGCCGTCATATTATACATCATAAGTTTTTGTTGTAGAGTTCAACAATTCATCAGCTGCCTATAACACCCAGTGCTCATCCCAAAACATGCTATTCTTAATACCCACCACCACATAGCTTTTAAGAAATCAATTCGATAATTATAACCAAATACATCTCAAAGACAGTAAGTGCACAAGGCAGTGCTTTCTATCATAGTCAACCCAACTAAAATGAGGCTTATGATTCAAATTAGTTCCAGTTAGATCTTGACATAACTGTGTGATATTTTCATTATCAAGTAATAGACGTAAGAATATGTAGATTCATACATTTTGGCCTAATAATGAGCTTTCTTTGAATTGTATCTAAAGTCTACATTAGTTACTCACCTTCATGCCTTTTGTGAATAGGTTGTGGACATTAGATAAAATTTTATGAGAGATGAAGTTTTGCAGGCTCCAGGATGTAGTCTCCACACACAAAAGCAAAAGGAGATAAAATAAGCCCAAGACAGCCAATGCAGTCAAATACTTTGCAATCCCATGTGTTCCAAAATTATAGACACTCTTCTCAGTAGCTGAGGATGATAAAAGACAAATAGCCTTACTTTAAAAACTGATACAAAATCTAAGGTGACACCAAAGTTAAGAAATATAGGGTCAAATGAATTTTAAATTAGATTTAAGGAAGTATAGAATATAGGAAATAATTATCTTAATATTTTATTAATTTATCTTTCTGGATATTTATGGTTTTTATAAAAGTTCTTCTGCCAGTGATTTTTTTTTTCCTCTAGTTTTTACCAGGACAACATAACCACATACTCAATGAATTTTAAAGGCTGAGCCTCCATGAACACAATGCTTAGTAATTAAAGAAAGCAAACAAAATAAAGGTATTTGTGGCATACCTAGGTCATGCCAAACAATTAAAGTCCTTTAAGGTGAGAAAAACCTTTATTCTATAAATAGGTAAAAATTTTAAGTAAAAAAAGAATATGATGGCAATAATCATAAGGAAGAAAACAAATAGTTGAAATGTAAATGGACAATAGCTTATAGTTTTTGGCCTTACTACAGAGAAAATTAGCTAATACAAATGGCTAAATTCTACATGTTCAAATAGCAGACATCTCTGAAATGTGAGATAAATTACTCTTTTTATCAGAATTGTGTTTTCTGATTTGTACCAATATGAAGAAATGCAATTTGTTTTATTGTAACAAAATACACATAAAACTTACCTTTTTAAAGTGTATAATCCAATGGCACTTAATATATTCACAGTGTTGTATAGCAATTACCACTACCTAGATCCATAACATTTTCATTACCCCAAAAGAAAACCCAGTATCTATGAAACAGTCATTATTACCCCCCTCCCCCTAACCACTGGTAACCACTAATCTGTCTCTATGGATTTGCCTATCTCAAACATTAAATATAAATGGAATCATAGAGTAAGTGGCCTTTTGTATCTGGCTCTTTTCACTTAGCGTAATGTTTTGAAGGCTCACCCATGTTGTAACACCTGCCTGTAATTCATTTCTCTTTATTGTTGAGTATTACTCCATTGGTATGGATATACCACATTTTGTTATCCACTTATCAGAGCATGAGCATCTGGATTGCTTCCAATTTTTCTGGGAAAAAACCATTACGAATAATGCTGCTCTGAGTATTTGTGTACAAGTTCTTCTTTAAATACTTCTTTTCAGTTCTTTTGGATATATATTCAGGGGTGGAATTGTTGGGTCATATGGTAATTCTATGTTTAACTTTCTGAGGGACCACCAAACTGTTTTCCACAGCAGCTGCAACATTTTACATTCATACCAGCAATATATGAGAGTAAGAATTTCTCCACATTCTCACCAAACCTTTGATATTTTTCATTTTTGAAAAAAAATTATGTCCATCCACGTGGGTAAGAAGTGATGTCCTACTATGCATTTCTTATTGAATATATTTGACATTTAACATTGTGTAAGTTTAAGGTGTTATAGCATGCTACTTCAAAAAATTTATGGATTAGAATGTGATTGCCAATGTAGTAATATTGATTACATTACATAATTATAGTACAATATTATCTATATTTATCATATTGTGCATTAGAGCTCTATGGTTTATTTAGTACTCATTATAAGTTTGTAACTTTAAACACCATCACTCTTAACAACTGTCCTCCACTCCCAGTTAACCAAAATTTTACCCTGTTTTTTACAGGTTAAGTTTCTTAGATTCTAGATATAAGTGATACCATACAGTACTTGTTTCAGTCTGACTAATCTTGTTTAGCATAATTTGCTTGTTTCACCCATGTTGTCTCAAATGGAAGAGCATCTTCTGTTTCCATGGCTGAATATCATTCCATTGTGTTTATGTACCATATTGTTTTTCTACCCATTCATCCATTGGTGGGCATTTGGGTTGTTTCCATATCTTGGCTGTTGTGAATAATGCTGCAATATATGCATGGGAGTGGATATATCTTGTCAAAAGCCTGTTTTCATTTCCTTTGGGCATCTACTTAGAATAGGAATTGCTGGATTATGTGGTAGATCTATTTTCTAGCTTTTCGAGGAAACTCCATATTGTTTTCCATAGTGGTTGGGATAATTTAAATTTCCACCAACAATGTATAAAAGTCCCCTTTTCACCACATCCTTGTCAGCACCTATCATCTACTGTCTTCTTGATATCAGCCATTCTAATAGGTGTTAGATATCTAGATAGGTATTCTAATAGGTATAGGTATCTAATAGGAAGTGATAGCTCATTGTGATTTTGATTTGCATTTCGTTGATGACTATTGATGTTGAGTATCTATTCATGTGCCTGTTGGCCATTTTGATGTTCTTTTTACAAAGATGTCTATTTAGTTCTTCTGCCTATTTTTTAAATTTTTTAAATTATGTTCAATTAGCCAACATATACTAGTACATCATTAGTTTCCGATGTAGTGTTCAAAGATTCATTAGTTGTGCACAACACCCAGTGCTCATCACAATATATGCCTTCCTTAACACCCATTACCCGGGCACCCCATCCTGACCCCTCCCTTCTGCAGCCCTCAGTTTGTTTCCCAGAGTCCAGAGTCTTTCATGGTTTGTTTCCCTCTCTGATTTTTTCCCATTCAGTTTTCCCTCCCTTCCCCTATGGTTCTCTGCCCATTTTTAAACTGGATCATTTTTGTTATTAAGTTGACCGCATTCCTTATCTATTTTGAATATTAACCTGTTATGTGATATATGGTTTGCAAACATTTTCTCCCATTTTCTGGGTTGTTTTTTTCATTTTTTGATATAGTTTTATAGTATAATTGCCAAATACTGTGACCATATGCAGTAACACTAAGTAAAGCAAAGGCAGAAGCAAATTATACAAAGAATATCTGAAATGAACAAAATAGAAATTTTTTTTAAATTTGATAGACAGAGATCACAAGTAGTCAGAGAGGCAGGCAGGAGAGAGAGGAGGAAGCAGGTTCCCTGCTAAGCAGAGAGCCCGATGTGGGGCTCGATCCCAGGACCCTGGGATCATGACCTGAGCCGAAGGCAGAGGCTTTAACCCACTGAGCCACTCAGGCACCCCAAAATAGAAATTTTTTAAAACTTAAATTTAAACTATAATATTAAATTACATATAAAGAACCTAATTAGACATATACCTTTGTTAAGATTATTCTAAAAAGAAGAGAGGTAAATATTCGTTTAGAAATTTGAAAGAGGACAAGAAAATTTAAAATGTTGCAATTAACAAAATAGAAATTAAAAAGAGTTAAAAAGGGAGAATAAAAATAAAGGCTGATTTCTGAAAATGATGTATATTTATATAAGCCTTTGGTGATCAAGTGTAATAAAATATATGGGAACCCCTCCCCCCAAGTATACTATATTAGGAAGAGGAAAGTAGATAGGACTTACAGAAGAGAATAAAATAACTATATTCAATTTTATGTCAGTGACTGGAAATCAGGATAATTTTTTTTCAAAACTCATATTTTATAGCAACTTTTAAAAAAGAAAATATAGATTTTTAAAAATTCCAGTTAGTTATCATACAGTATAATATTAGTTTCAGGTCAACAATATAGTGATTCAACACTTCCATACAACATCTGGTGCTTATCACAACTGCACTCCTTAATCTCCCTCACCTACATTACCCATTCCTCCATCACCTTCCCTCTGGTAACCATCACTTTGTTCTTTATAGTTAATATTCTGCTTCTTGGTTTGTCTCTGCCTCTCTTTCCCCTACCCCCATGCTCTTTTGTTTTGTTTCTTAAATTCCACATATGTATGAAATCATGTGGCATTTGCCTTTCTCTGGCTGACTTATTTTGCTTAGCATACTACTCTTTAGCTCCATCCGTGTCACTGCAAATGGCAAGGTTTCATATATATAACTCAGCCATATATATATACACACCATATCTTCTTTATCCATTCATCAGTCAATGGACATTTGGGCTCTTTACACAGTTTGGCTATTGTAGATAATGCTGCTATAAATATTGGGGTGCATGTATCCCATCAAATCAGTATTTTTGTATTCTTTGGGTAAATAACTAGTAATGCCATTGCTGGATCATAGGGTAGGTCTATTTAATTTTTTGAGGAACTTCTATACTATTCTTCAGAGTGGCTTTAACAGTTTGGATTCCCACCAACAGTGTAAGTGGGTTCCCCTATTTCCACATCCTCCCCAACACTTGTTGATTCTTGTGTGGTTGATTTTAGCCATTCTAACAGGTGTGAGGTGATAGCTCACTGTGGTTTTGATTTGCATTTCCCTGATAATTAGTGATAGAGTATCTTTTCATATCTGTTGTCCCTCTGGATGTCCTCTTTGGAAAAATGTCTATTCAGGTTTTCTGTGCATTTTTAATTGGATCATTCTTTTTTCAGGTGTTGAGTTTTGTAAGTTCTTTGTGTATTTAAAATACTAACCCTTTATCTGGTTTGTCATTTGCAAATATCTTTTCCTACTCCATAGTTTGCCTTTTAGTTTTATTGATTGTTTCCTTCACTGTACAGAAGTTTTCTTTTTCTTTTCCTTTCTTTTTTTTTTTTAAAGTAGACTTAAATCAAGTGCTTGAACTTATGACCCTGAGATCAGGATCTGAGCTGAGATCAAAAGTTGGATGCTTAACTGATGTAGCCACCCAAGCACCCCTGTGCAGAAGCTTTTTACTATAATGAAGTCCTAATAGTTTATTTTTGCTTTTGTTTCCCTTGCCTTAGGAGACATATCTAGAAGGAGGCTGCTATGGCTAGTGTCAAAGAGATTACTGCCTGTATTCTCTCATCAGATTTTTATGATTTCAAGTCTCACATTTTGGTCTTTAATCCATTTTTAGTTTATCTTTGTATCTGGTATAAGAAAGTGGCCAGGTTTCATTCTTTTGCATGTTGCTGTCCAGTTTTCCCAACACCATTTGTTGAAAAGTCTTTGTCCCATTGGATATTCTTTCCTGCTTTGTCAGAGATTAATTGGCCATTATTCATGAGTTCAGAATAAATAATTTTTTAAAAGAAAAGTATAAATTGCCATACTCATGTAAATTGAA